TAGTAATAGTTTAACATAGTAATATGCAGGTTCCTACATTCATTGATCAAATATAATTTGACAATATTAGAAATCTGTCCATCTAGGCTGAAACTGAAGAGTAAGATAAAGTAAGAAATGTGTAGGTGTGATTGAAGAGATGGCATTTTAAAAGGTCATTGAATTGTAAATAACTTACCTTTTGTAAAATATCAGACCACTTGTATGCTTTAATATCTCCACTACCAGCACTAAAAAAATATACAAGTAATAAAAACATAAAACTTAAATTTTAGTTTTATGCGTAAAAATATCTGTCACCCACCCTTAGTTTTCTACAGCCACAACCATGCACAACATATACCAATCTTAACATATGAAAACAAAAGAAAAAAAAAATAACAATAAAAAAAAATCAATCAAATTATAACCATTCTCAATTTTGTGCTTTATAAATTTATAATTTGAACAATTTTAAGCCTCAAAAGACATCTTAAGCAAGACATGTATTGATGTAAATGTATGCTTGAAGGAAACGGTTTGATTTAAATTAACTCACCATATTAGAAACAACTCTGATGAAACAATTGAGTATATCGGTCCACTGCAAGCTACAGCACATGTAAAATAAATATTATATATCAATGCATTTTAAAGTACAAAGTGAAGTAGAATATTTCAATGTGCATTATTATTACCTCTACTCATTCAATAGATCAACCATACACCAGGTTCAACTTCCTCTGTCTCTCTGGGACTATAGTTTTCATCAAGCCCTGTCCAGACCATCAAATTTTATTTGACAAAAACATGATATGCCTAAATATTGTCATGATAACATCACATCATGACCATTCCATAGTAGGCACACATATATATATATATACTGTATGGGCATAGAAGTTTTTTGTCGAAAAAAATTTGATAGTGTGGACACAGCTCTGTATTCAGTGGAAAAACATTCCACATCTAGTGTATATAACTGTATACAAGATACCCATCGATATCCATGGTGAGGAGAGGGTCACATAAAGTACTTTATATAAAGTATGTACCAGTATTATTTAGGCCCTCACTTATATTCAGTCTGAGGCAGAGAAGAAAGCATGAACTGCCTGTATACCTTGATAAGAGAAGGATGGCTTCCGATGATGCTCATTTGCATTTGAGCTCAAAGCAGTCATCAAGTTGAACACAGAAATAGTGCCATAATTGTTTCCGATCACTAGGTAGTTTCCACATGGTGAAAAACACTGTGAAAACACAGTCAGGTGTTGTGATTTCCTG